CCTCCCCCTCCTCCTGCCTGCTCCCTCATGCACATCATCCGCCTCCTCCTTCTCCCTTCCATCTCCTCCTCCTCCTCCTCCTCCTCGACCTCCTCTTCATCCCGAACGGCATCTCGGAGCCTAGAGTTGCGAGGATGTCTCCAGCGTAACGGGCTGGAGCACCTCGCGCGCGGCATCTCGGACCCCAGAGTTGCGACGATGTCTCTGGCGAAACGTGGTGCGAGGAAGTCTCAGGCGAAACGGGCCGGACCACCTCGAGCGCGGCGTCTCAGAGCTCCGAGTTGCGGGGGCCTCCTGGGGCCTCCTGGGGACCTCCTGGGGCTTCCTCCTGGGCCTCCTGTGGCCTCGTGAACTCCACCTGGGGTTTCCTGAAGCCTCTTGGGGCTCCCAAGGGGGATATCTAACCTGTGGCCGTTTGGGCCTCTCCAAATGGGGGGGAGCACAAGAGCAGGACAACTCAACGAATCGACACCGGATGTGTATTAACTTGACACGTTCTGATAGGCGGCCTCCCGGGGCCTCCTGGGAGCCTCCTGGGAATCTCCTGGAGACCCCTGGGGCCTGTCCTGGGCGTCCTGCGGCCTCCTGGTGCCTCCTGGAGCCTCCTGGGGACCTCCTGGAGCTCCCTCCTGGGCCTCCTGTGGCCTCCTGAACTCCACCTGAGGTTTCCTGAAGCCTCTTGGGGCTCCCAGGGGGGATATCTAACCTGTGGCCGCTTGGGCCCCTCAAAATGGAGGGGGGGGGCACAAGAGCAGGACAAATCAACGAATCGACACCGGATGTGTATTAATTAACTTGACACGTTCTGATAGAGGGCCTCCTGGGGCCTCCTGGGAACTCTCGAGGGCCTGCCGCTTTAGCTCGTCCAGCAACTCGTTTGGCCGCGACTGCCATCTGGTTGGGGTCGTCGAAACTCGCGCCCGGGATGCTGAGTCGCTTGACCAGCCGCTGGCTCCAAGACGACTGAACGTCACTCTCTAGACTGGCGAGCGGAGTGTGAGCTGCGTTAGGTTGGTCGCTGGCGAGCGCCGCGCGCTTGGCGCATCTGACGCTGCTGAGCGGGCCCTTCTTGCGGGCGCGATGAAGATACAACCGCGCGAGGGCCGCGGAAAGACGATCCAGGGGAACGCGACCTGGGGGCGCAGAGGCTGCTCTCGAACTCGACTGGAAACCTCGACCTGCGAGACGACGAAAGACGGCCCTGGGCTCCGAGACCGCGCCCCAGGAAGGAAATCCCCCACGTTGCTGGATGGTACTTTGTTCCGAAACCTGAACATTGCTCCCAGACGCCGAACGCGTGGCCCCCCGACTGCATGCGCTGCCAGGCTGGAGATGACGGGCCACACTTCCGAATGCCGACGCAACTCCGAGTGCCCCACCTGCGTCCGAGCTGAAGCCCAAAGGTCAGAGGGTGCCAAGAACGCGAGAAGGGAGGCCCGACTGCCGGCCGCCGCGGGGTCGGGGCTGACGGCCGGCCCCCGGCGATCCGAAAGACGAAATCAATGTTGTCTGCGCGAGTGGCTCCGTCGCCTAGAAGTACTGACCTCGTCGGCGACCGCGAGATCCGCGCGGGGCCGGCGACCGCGCTGCCGGGGGCCCGCGGCCGCTTCGGGCCGCGCGACGGGGCGCGCAGATGTAGCGGCGGCAGCCGCTGGCGAATCAGAGAATAAGGCGGCATAGAAGACTTGACATCGCAATCCATCGCGATGTCCGCGCGGCGCAGCAAAAGCAAAAAGAAGCAGCGGGGGGGGGCAGGCGATGCCTGGGCAAGGCGCGCGATGGGATCCAGTGGTGACGACGAAGCCAGGCCCCCGAACGTCTCCTCGACTGTCTCTAGCTGCCGCCTCCTCGCGAACCACCGCGCGCTGGACCTCGGCTTGGCTGGGCTCGAGCCTGGCGTCGGTTGGGTCTGTGGCCTCGGTGCCTGAGGAAGGCGGGCGGCCGCTGCCAGCTCTCGGCAGAGAAGCTGGCAGCCCGTGCTCCGATGGCGCACAAGCACGCCGCAGCGCGGCTTCCACGGGGCCACCAGCACCGCCGACACCCGCGCGATGCAGGGCCCGCACGAGTAGCTGGCCATGGCATAATTGAGATTGCCACCCTTCTCCGCCGCGCATGCGTGCTCGACTTCGGCTGCGGAGAGGACTATCCCCACCTTCTCGATAAAGCCCTTGTTGACGAGCGCGGTGGGATCGGCGCTGAAATCCTCTATGGCGAATCATGGTGGAAGCAATTTTGAAATTAAGGCTCCAGGCTCGGCGAATCGAAGAATGCTCCTGCCAATGAAGCCCTTGGAACAGAATTCGTAGAAGCTGATGGCCACCACCGAGCAGCCGCGCATGCGAATGACCACGACTGCGAAGCCGTCGTAAGACGAAGTCCCAGGAACACGTGAATCACGAGTGACCGCGTCGAACCCACTGAGCCGCTGAAGTTGAAGATGTTGGCGGCGCAAAGTCAATGCTCCTCCTTCGTTGGCCCTGTCCTTCGTGGCGTTGGACGGCTCGTGCCCTGTGGGCCGCGCTGCGTCGTCAATCAACTTAAGACCATGGTTGTGGCGTTGCCGGGAAAAAAAAATCCGAATCCTGCTCGGAGCCAGAGAATCCTTCGCGGATGACAGACTGCCAAGCACCACTGTCATCAAGACGAGCCCCTGGTTGGCAAGCACGAGGGCTGCACAACCCAGACCTCAGAACCGATGGCGATGAGGAGGTAGAGCGGGTCTCGAAACGCCCACCTCCATCCCACAACGACCATTGACCCGAGCCCGCGCCCGAGACTCCCGCACTGATTGCCTCGGCCGCCGCCCGCGCTGCTGCCTGCTCGGCCGCGCTGAACTTGGCCGCCGCCTTGATGCGTTCCTGGCTGGCGGCTTCGCCGCCGCTAATTAGCCGTCGCCGCCGCGCTGCCGCCACCGGCCTGGTCTGAAGCCTGCGCGCCCGCCGCGGCCGCTGGAGCGCCATCCTCGCCACGGCGCTTCTTGGCCATGCGCGTGGTGATCTGGGCCCGCAGCTCCTTGGCCCCGCTCGAGCCGCGTGACTGCCTGCGTGTTCTGCGACTCCAGCTGGTCTCTGGCGCCCATCAGATCCTCTTTGAGCGTCCTGAGATCCACGTCCTGAATGCAACTTTCTCGTGCTCCTCCTCGTCCACGGTCTCGATCCCGTCTAAAAACTTATCGCCCCACTGAATGGAGAAGAGAACGTCCTTCTAATCACCGACGATGGAAGGGCCACTGGGGATGACGCCGACCTTCTTGCAAAGCGCCTCTGTCGCAAGCTTCATGGCATTCTCGGCGGCCGCCGAAGTATCCTGTGCCTTGGCCAGGTTGAGACGGCACCGTTGGAATGCAGCTATGGCCTGGTCGTGCTTCATCGTCGCATCTCGGATTGCGCCGTTCGCCTTGGTCAAAGCATCTTCGGGAGTGAGGGCCGTCGCACCGGAAAGAGAACCCTTCGGCGCCCCGGTCTGCGCCGTGAGGGACCGCTTGAGCAGGAGGTCGGCGGTGACCTCCATGGCGTTGATGTGATCGGGGTGGGAAGATCTGACGGCAAACTGCTGGTCGCCGCACTTCGCGTCCTGCTCCTGGTTCTTCGTGCCAGTGTAGAGCTTCACCTTCCGGCCGCACTTGGAGCACACCCTGCCGCTCGTGCGCCCGCAACCCTTGCACGTGCTCCGGGGCCCTTCCAAGACATGATGCCCTCTTGCCACCGAGAAAGACAGCCCGAGGCTGCTGGGATGTGGCCTCGGTGCCCCTCGAACGGGACTCAAGTGTCACCAAAATGGGACTCTCAAGCCAGCGCTTGAGTACGGAGCGAAGGAGCTTGAGTACGGAGCGAAGGAGGAGGAGAAGGAGGAGGGGGAGGAGGAGGAGGGAGGAGGAGGACGATCAGCAGCAGCAGGAGCAGCAGAGAGTGAAGAGCAAGAAGGGCAGCAGGAGGAGGAAGAGGAGACGGAGAAGGAAGGAAGGGAGAATAGGGTGAGGCGGAGGGAATCTTGGTAGTAGGTCCTACTACCAAGATTCCCTCCGCCTCACCCTACTCCTACTAAGTAGCAGTAGGAGCAGAAGCAGGGGAAGAAGCAAGAGGGAGGAAGGAGGATAAAGAGGAGCCCAGCGTAAGAGAGGAGGAGAAAGAGGAGGAGAATGATGATCAATAATTATAAGCACAACCATAAAGACGATCGATCATACGCACAGTCGTAATGTTAGTAGACGTAGTAATAATAGCGATAACCAGGTGAATCCTGATAGTAATGCTAACAATGTAATAGTGGTAGCGATGCTAACATTCGAATAATAATAATAATAAACAGAACAAGACGGGAGGTCGAGGAGAAAGAGCAGGGGGGGAAATGGGAGGGAGAAGGAGGCGGGACAAGATGGCGCGAGCAATGCCGAGCTTAGCGCCCTTCGCTGTGCCACCAGTGGAGAGTCGGGCCTGCTCTGCACATGTGCACCCGCAGCTCAAAGGATGCCCCGTCGACCTGTCAGCCCCTCTTCCCGCGCCCGTTCCCGCACCCGCTCCGACCCCTCGCCCCGCAGGAGGACGGGAGCGGACGCGGAAGCCGCAGCAGTCGCACCACGAGAGCACGCGCACGGGCACAGCAACGGCAAGGAGAAGCAGGATCAACATCGTGGGGAGGGAAATAATGAGTATGATGATGTTTCTTCTTATTGTTATTATTATTATTCATCTTCTTCTTCATATAACAATACTACTACTACTAATAATAATAATAATCATAATAATAATAATCGCTATGATACTACTACTGCTACTACTACTACTACTACTACTACTACTACTACTACTACTACTACTACTACTACTACTACTACTACTACTACTACTAATACTACGACTACGACTACTACTACTACTACTACTACTACTACTACTACTACTAATAATAATAATAATAGTAGTAATAATAACAATCATAATAATAACAGTAGTAGTAATAATAATAATACTAAAAACAATGATGATAAGGGTACGGAATAGGCCGGACCGACGGGGGAAGCACGAAAAAGAACAACCACGCGTGCACGCAGGCAGCACGACGGGAAGCGGCAGGCCACACGCGCGAAGCCAGAAGCCGCACACCTCATTTTTTTGGAGCCGGCACGGTGGCGCAATGACTTCTGGGCGGAGGGGAGACGCCAAGAAGGGAAAAACAACCGACAGGATCGGCTGCAAGCAAGAGCGACCCCGGGTAAGAGTGACCTTTTGGGCCTTTGGTGCGCGGCTTTTTGGGACCGCGGGGGGGCCAAAGGCAAGCGCGCAAGCCGCTGCTGCCGCTTCTCTCTCGGCCCTTTGGGGGCCCGTCTGTGCCCGCACCAGAGGTCACTCCAGCGAGAGGTCACTCTCACGCCCAGCCGACAGAAAGGGGTGACAGAGCACGCGCACGGCCGACCGGCCCGCGCGGACACTTCGACGAGCATTCTCCAGGCCCCGGCGGCGTGGTCGAGTGGGGGGTTCACGGCTGGCTTCGGCCGGCCCACGCAATTAATTTCAGTCCTCTGCCGTGCCGAGTTGAGCTATAGGGGTACAGGGGGCAGGCTGACTCTTACAGCAGGAAGTCTTGTGAGACAAAGAGAGGAAAAACGAAGTAAAGACGCCCACGTGCGTAAGTAGGGGATGCCAGCCGCTATCGAAAACGACATCCATCATGTGCAGACCAGTTGGGCAGAAGAGATGCGCGAAAGTCAAGGCCGACCATCTGGTACACAATGTCTCATCGTCAGCCTGTAGCACCCAAAATCAGAACATCACGCGCTGAATGCACTCGTTCTTCACGCGAACGGGAGATGGCTACTTCGCGGTACTGTGGGGCAGCCTTTGACGAAGAAGGGGGCCTCCTCTGCCAAGGTCAGGCGGGTGACACCTCTCCGAGCTGCAACACACAATGCAAGCTCCCGCGCAGAGCCTGGCGAGGTGGCACTCAAGACGCGCCGTGGAATCAGGTCGCTGGGGGAGCGGGGGAGGGAGCACCCCAGCGCCGCAGGACGGAAAGCAGACGGACACGAGGCCCTCCGCGCCCTTGCCGTGGCTGCGCGGCCCGCCCGCGAGTCGCCCCCTCCGCTCGCGAGGGCCCCGCCGCCCCGACCGGCACTCCTCGCAAGCTCCTCAGACGCTCCTCAGCGGCTCCTCGTCCGGTGCCTCGGCGGCGTCGCCAGCGGCGGCCCTAGGAGGAGGAGGAGGGGGAGGAGGAGGAGGAGGAGGAGGAGGAGGAGAAGAAGGAGTAGGAGGAGGAGGTCGAGCGTGCCCAGAGGAGGAGGAGGAGGAGGAGGAGGAGGAGGAGGAGAAGGAGGAGAGGGACTGATGAAGGGGAGGAGGAGGAGGAGGAGGAGGAGGAGGAGGAGATTACCACTGAGGACCAGTGTCCTTGCAACTAGAGAAGATGTGCACCCACATCAAAGAAGAGATCGGGCCACTTCAGGCGCCCCCTGGGGGCACGGGTGCAGGCCCTTGGAAATTCGCACGAGGTTACACTGACCCTTCTTGGACCGCGCCGCACCCGTGGCGGCGGGCCCGCAAGGCCGCGAGAGGTGGCGTCCGTCAAGGGTCGCAGTGAAACCACATAACATACAAAATTTTAAACTCATGTGATCCCAGGACCAAATCTGATGTCCAGGGTCAACCTTTCGGCCCCCCACCCAAACCGTCCCCGACTCCCGCCGAATGGTGACCCCAGACATGTTGGGGGTAGTGGCGGAGGAGGAGGAGATGGGAGGGGGGCGGCACGGCCTCCTCGCGGCCGCCTCCAAGGCGGTGGCGGTGGCGAGCTCGCCACAGGTGGAGCACCTCCACCTGCCACCTGCACGTTGGAAAGCGTGGGTGGAGTCCCGCAGCACCTGTACTCTGCGGGAGATGCGCTGGCGTGGCACTGCTGGGCCCGCCCACTCACCTTCCCAGGGGTCCACGACGGCAGTGTCCTGGAGAGCCTGGGACGCACGACGACGGACGAGCCAGGCAACGACGTCTAGCTCGTCCGTCCTGGGCACTTCCTTAAGCTCGGTGGCTAACTGGAACCCGCGGGCAGCAGCGTCACAGGCGAGGCCATCAGCCACGGCGTTTCCAAAAGACAGGAAAGCTTGCCAGAGAGTGCGAATTCCCCCTTCCTCATCTTCGAGGTGGGAGGGGGTCCAAAAAACACTGACAGGGTGAGGCCTCTGAGAGTACGCCTGACGGATCCTCACCCACAGGTCAGAATTTTGCTCCTTAGGAGCCTTCCGATCACCCCTACCCGACTGCCATGCTCTATGCAGGGGGAGGTGGTCGGTGATATAATCGAGGGGGCCGTGAGTCAACTCCAAGGCCAGACAGAAAGCAAGCAGCTCCGCGCGGGGGGCCGTCTGTCTGGGGCCCACCAGAGGCGCAGAGGCCGCCCAAACAGTGCTCCACGAAAGATCGGCGACAGGGTCCGCGTGGAGAATGGCAACTCCCGCCCCGCAGCGCCGACGCCGAGGATCACTGGAGTACTCTCCTCCCGATCCGTCTCCAAAGACAACTAGGGGGCCCTGGAGGGGATCCGAAACTGCAGCGCTGGGGTTCCCCATAAGAAGCAGCCCTTTCTCAAGCACAGACCCCTCCGAAAACTCAGGCACAACCTGCTTCTCGGGGGGAACCCCACGGAGCCAAAGGCTGGGCTCGCTCTCATGTGAGGCGACTGCACGGGCGATGAGGCTGTCACTTTTTCTGTACGCATCATGATGACAGTTGGCTGGACACAGCCATACACGGTGCAGGAGCGTCTCAGGCTCCCGCCCACACCGTCTGCATAGCGGGTCCGTGGCGTAGCCCTGTGCACGTTGTCGTTCACGAGTCCACTGGCCTCCAGATACCACTGTCAAAGTGAGGCCCCAGTTCTCCATGTCCTGCTTGCGTTCGAACCTGTCGAGCTCGCGCTTGATCTGAGAGAAATCAGCTCCATATTGTAGGTCATGTGCTCCCTCAAATTGACTGGCCTTCCTCCAGAACTGGTGTCGGAGGTCTGCCGTGAATTCATGTAGCATATCGTGAAGATCGACCTGCAGGTACTGAGGTGTGCCCACTCTGGGGAAAATCCACTCAATGCCCGCACTGGTCCGAGTCCAAACTTCTGGTTGCTTACATTCCCAGCCTGCATTGACGAGGGTGGCAATCACTGCAGCAACTGGGCCACGGACTCTCTGCCATCTGGCCCTGCCATCCACCACTACAGCATTGTGTATTCGCAACCATGCCCACCGAATGGGATTGTGATATTGTGGATTGTCAAACCATAGACGCAGCCATGCCTCCAATAATTGACGAGGTAGTTCGAGTCCTGGGCCGCGCTGAGCAAGGGTCGCTTCCAGCACCGAAGTCAGACACCTGCCTCGCTTAGTACCTGCAATGGCCGACGCTGCCTGGCGCCTGACCTCCAACATTGTGCTGGGAGCCGTGCCAAGAACCTGATGGCCATAGCAACCCTGTGGTAAAACTCCCGTGGTCCAAAGTGAGCTGCAGACTCTTCGGACTCTGGGTCCGAGGCGGCGAAGGCGAAGGACACGACCATGACGTCGTCGAGCTGCTGCGAGACGTTGGTTAGCCTTCTTCTTTATTCTCCTGCGCCCCGCACTGACGTCGATGCCCAGGTCCGTGGCCGCCAGCTTGTAGGATACTGGGATGCCAAGTCGTCTCATAATCCTGGCCATGCGCAGGCCCAGAGACTTGGACGACGCGATCAAATCTGTTTTGCCCGAAACAATCAGCCTGTGCTCTAGGAAAGCCGCTCTGAACTCAGCTGCAACCTCCGTCATATTAGCAATAACAATTTCTTCATCGTCATTCTCCTCACGTGCAACGGTGTCATCTATGTAGGTGGCCAACATCGTCTGCGGGGCAACCTTGTGGACCCTCTCGAGGATTGGGTGGAGAAAAACCTTGGCGAGTTGGACCCCTTTGGGGCTGCCTGCCACCAACGATCTGGTGACGGTGAGGAGGTCGCTCGCCCACTGCTTGAGCTTGAGGATCCTTGGGGCGATGCACATCTGCACCTCCATGAGTACAACAATGGCTGGATACCCCACTTTGATGGCTGTGCGCATAAGGATGCACAGCGATACACTGTCGTAGAACTTCTCCAGATCTAGAAGGAGGGTCAGGAAATGCTTCTTGTTGACCATCCCCACTTCGTCGAGAAGAGATCTTAGCATGGCGGCCCGCAGGGCCGAGGACCCCGCCAGGGCCGTGTCCCAGAAGTAACTTAGCCCTTTGGACCATTCTGCAGCTGGTCCGACTCGGGTCTGACTCCAAACCTTTCCCGTGGTGGGGAGGAGCCCCAATACTCTGTCTCCTCCTCTAGGCTTGGCCGCAAGTGCTCCTATCGTTGCGTGGATCTTCCTGGGCCATGAGCCCACATATTCCGCGAAATTGAAGAAATCCACTAGCATCTTCTTGCCTGACACAGGTAGCCTGGCAATGTCATTCACGCTTATGTTATCAACCCCTTTGGCTTTGTTTGCCGACATACGAGCTAGTGCATTCTCCAGCTCCTCTAGTGTGATTGGGTCAATGTCCTGCTGCTTCGCAATTTTGAGCGTCTGACCGATCTCATGTACGATGTCTTCCATGGTGTCGACTCTGTCCGTCCAAACATTCTGCCAGTACTTGTGGCGGGTCTTCATGATGAGATCTGGGTCAGCCATGCCTTCAACTTCCGTGGTGTCCGCCTGGGGGTCCTTCACATGACGATGCAAGATCCCAGGCTTCTTAGACCACGTTTCTCGTATCCACTTCATGAAACTATGTTGGCCCTTGGCGAAGGCCCGTGCTTGAGCTCGTCTCTCCAAGGACTCCGTGCGTTCATTGACCTTGTCCAGAAAATCGAGGGACAGGGTTGCCAACGCCCGTAGTGGTGGGCTGGGTTCAGGTGGAACATCTGCTGGTTCCGCGTCATCCTGTGGAGCATACTCCTCTTCGTGTTCAGCTTGGGGGAATACGTCATCTTCATCATCCATATTCGTTCGCCGAACCATCCCGCTGCTGCCATTGATATCCTTGTGCCGCAGGTCGGACTCGATCCCTACGGCATTCGCCTGGCCTCCCAACTGTCCCCACTCTGCTCCCTTACTACCGCCCCTTGCGGGGTTGGTGGGCCTGCATTGTGGGTCCAGGGGCTCTGTAGGGGGGTCGACCTGCAGCAATGAGGCCGAAGTAGACAAGGAAGCCGTCGTTCTTGTGAGTCCGCGGGGGCAGCCCCCGACTCCGTACACGTCTTCTGGCGTGCACGTATCCATAAAATGCCGCATATGCACCTGTGGAGAGCCTTCACGCACCTCCCCCTCGCGCTGGCCATGCAGGTCATCATCAACATGCATGGGCGCCCAAGGTGTTCCCTGAGGCTCGCCAGGACGACGCCCACCATGACAATCTTCCCTACCTTGAGGGGCCAGGCGAAATTGTGGCGTCTCATCTTCATCATCCATATTTGTGCGACACGCCTTCCCGTTGTTGCCGTCCCTGTCCTGCATCAATGGGGCCGAAGTAGACAAGGAAGCCGTCGCAGTTGTGAGTCCACGGGGACAGCCCCCGACTCCGTACACTTCTCCCATCGTGCACATATCCAAATTATTCCGCGTCTGCATCTGTGGAGAGCCTTCACGCACCTCTCCCTCACGCTGGCCAGGTAGGTCTTCATCATCATGGATGGACGCCCAAGGTGACTGGGGGTCGCCAGGACGACGCCCACCGTGACAAGATTCCCCACCTTGGGAGGCCAGAAGAACTTGGGCGGCCTGCGAAGGGTTCGGGGAAGGAGTAGCCGTTGCCGTAGAGCTTGTGGGTCCGCGGGGGAAGCCCCCGACCCCGTGTGCCTCTCCCAGGACACACTTAACTGAAGATGCCGCATCCGTGCCTTCCTGAGCGAAGGGGGTGCCAGAGACTGGCCAGCACTGGAAGTGTGGAGTGCGGCTGATGAGCTTCAGGATGCCTGGGTCGAGGTCGGAGTGGTCTGGCGTCGGGGCCGAACTGGCCTTCTTCATGGCCATAACTGTGGAGTACTCAGCCTGGATCTGCGCCTGATCAACGTTGCACAGCCTGCTGTACATGTCAATCCATTCTGCGCGCTCCGCATCGCTGTTCTTGCCGAAGAACTGAAGTGGCGTGCCCTTGAGGATGCCAGAACCAATTTCTTTCAGGCGCCTGAGTATATCATTCTGCTGCTCAGGGTCTAGACCTTTGGCGACCAGCTTGCGCAGTCGAGAGACCAAGGTGGACATCACACCCCATAACTCAGCAGGCTTATCTTTCACATGGACTCGCCCTGGGGTTGACTTAGAAACTTCCCATTGAAGTTGGAACCCGTTGCGTCTGCCCGTGCAATGTCTCTGGGGCGCTGGCTCGACAGAGAGGATAGTCTCCTCCAAGGCCGTGACCCATCTCGCGTAATGCCAATCTATCTGGTGCTGCCCTTCCAAGTCACGTGCCAAAGCCTGAGTGACTGGGATGGGATGGGAGGTGAAATCAAGTCCCTCCATCAGTAAAGCGTCCGCCTGAGTGAGTCCAAGAGTCCATTTGTCCTCCAGGATGTGGAACTTAGGTTGGGTCGGTTCAAGGCCGTCCTGCTCCTGACTCATCTCCATGAACGCATCCTGCAGCTGTTCTGGGAGTACTTCAGCTCGCCGTTGAGTCTGCTTTTTCTTCTGCTTGCTACGCTTGCTGTCTGCCTGGGCCTGGAGCTTTGGCTTGGAGTATGCGGGCATCGCGGGGATCAAGGTAATGCTGCGGTGCCACCACTTGCTGCTGGACCCTGCTATGGTAATCTCCAGCCCAGCATGCGGTCTCCAAGGAACTGTGAGTACCGCCTGAATATTGACAAAGCCCTGGTATCCATCCTTCACTAATGCATAGTCGAACATGCCTCCATTGGTGCCCTGATCGCAGGTGAAGTGAACGTTGCCAGCCGTGACGATGTGTCCCTGCATCTTGCTGGGCCACTTAGTATTGGTGAATGCGTCTGGCGACATGTTCCAGTCTCCGAGGACGATCCAGGGGTCTCTAATCTTGAAAAGAAAGGCCGACAAGGCCTTGAGGGTATCTGCGTTCCTGCGCTGGACTCCCATGCCTGGGGATAAGTACGTCGAAACTACCACCAAGTTGCCAGATTGCAGGTGCCATATGATGGGAATGAAACCTCTGAATGGGTCTTTGTGTCCCATGGCGATCATATCCGTGCGCATCTTCTCCATCGTCGTGGTGGCGACGAAATTACGAGCCAATATCCATTCGCCTGCTGAGAAGCCTTCATGCTTCTTCACTGCTGGTGTGGCTGCCAACTTCCATCCATCCTTCCGTAGTGTCTCGCGCTCCATGGGGATGCGCGCCTTCTCGACGTGGGTCTCCACAAGGGCGACCATCTTGTAGTGCTTGCGTATCTTGTGAATGTACCTGGAGGCTGTGGGCCCCCACTGAGTGACGTTGCCGAAGAACAACGTCGCCTGTGAGTCGTCACCCCCGCGACGGCTGGCCACTGGGTGCAGCAGCGCCATCAGCAGCAGGAGGAGCTTCATGGGGGTGACGACCGACCGCCTGCCTGAGGCCCTCCTTCGCGGCTGAGAGAGTGGCGGGCTTGCCTGTCTTCTTCGCCGCGGCCACTGCCTCCCTGGACTTCTGGGAGATGGCTTCACGAGCAGCGGTGGCCTGCTCCTCCGTGAGGAGGTTGGCCGTGCGCTCGGCCGCCGAGGGTGCCTCTGCCGCCGCTGCGCCTCCACCTTTGGCTGGCGGGCACGCAGGCACCTTGGCAGGCGCCGCCTTGACTGGAGGCGGCACAAGGGGGGGGGCTGGCGACGTCGGCGGGGCCTGCTTGGCTGGCGTGTCAGCACGCGCCGCCGGCGCCGCACCGTGCACCGCACCCTCAGGGGTGCGCCTCTTCTTGTTGGCGGGCTCCTCGACGGCCGCCTTGATACTCTTGAGGAGCTCCTCGAAGCGTTTCTGGCCTTCTTGAAGCTCCTGCTGGTGACGGGCAACTTCTGCCTGCCATTGCCGTAGTGACTCCTGCACAGAGTCCTCATACTCATCAATGTTCTCGAAGAGGGCGGAGTCGACCTCGAAGAAGACTGCCGCAGAATCCTTGGGTTCGTGGCGTCTGGGTGTCGGGTCCAAACGCCAGTAGTCGTCGTGCGCCTTCGTGCGCTCGGCCTCGGCGGCGAGGGAGATCTCAATCTGGAGGTTGTGGACCCTCTTGGCCTCCTCCAGCGCCTGCTCCGCCTCCAAGAGCCTGTTGGCCGTCTTGATGAGGCGCTGCTCTTCCTGCTCCGCGATGCGATCCGCCCTGAGCATAGCCTGCTTCGCCGCGGACGGGTCCTTGGTGGCCTTCTGCTGCTTCTCGTGCTCTGCCTTGTCGATCTCGGCCTGCAACGCTTGTGCGGCAGGCGTCGCCCGAAGCTCTTCAGGGAGAAAGTCTCGCAAGGAAATTGGCGATGGCTCTCTCCATGGCGGGATGCCTCCGCCATCGGACTTCGGGTACTTCTTCTTGGGCTTGAACACCTCAAGATGCTTCTTGCAGAACAAGCATTTGCCACCAAGCTCCTCGATCCTCCAATTGTATGTCCACTCTCCACACGAGCACCACGCATACTGCTGAGCTGGCTTCTTGCCCATGACACAGAGAGAGAGGGCACAGGATGCTGCGCCGCTGGGCAGCTCACGCAGCGGATCGGTGAAGAACCTGGGGTCTAGCCGCGGACTAGCGGTATCCACTTGTTTCCGCTGGGAAACCAAAACCTTGAGCCAAAATGGCTACGGAGGAGGAGGAGGAGGAGGAGGAGGAGGAGGAGGAGGAGGAGGCGCCTGACGCCTGGGCTCACACAGGCCCCCGTGATGCCCACCTGGCGCTCGGCGGCGACCAGCTGCCGCAGCTGGGCGGCCAGGGCCTCCAGCCGCCCGGCGAGGGCGCCCTGCGAGGCCGCCATGCCCTCCACCTTGCGGCCCAGGCTGGCGACGTCGTGGCGGAGCTCGCCCAGGCTGGCGACCAGCCCAGCGACCTTGGGATCCGTTGGGTGCCCCGACGCCGTCGGCTGGCCCGCCATCGAGACCCCCTGCGCCCCCCCCATCAGCGAGGCGAGCCGCAGCTCGTCCACGGCGGCGTCCCAGCCCGCGGCCGCGCGGCTCTTCCTGGCGCCCGCGCTCCTCCAGAACCGCTGGACGAGGGAGGCCGCGAGGTGCCTGTAGCTGCAGCCTCTCGTGAGCCTGGCGAGCATGCCCAAGCGGTGGGTGTGGCGACTCAGCGCGACCGCCAGGAGGACCCTCTGGAACTGTGGGAAATCCTCGTAGAGCCTGCCGCCAACGCCGTTGGCGAGGAGGTCGCGCTTGTGCAGCAGGAGCACCTCGCCGTCGGCCTCGCACCGCGTCGTGCAGTTGCGGGTGCTCGAGAACAGCACCTCGTCGCCAAAGTAATTTTTCCTGCCGTACAGCTGGTAAGGGAAGAGGACGTTTTGACTGAGCACCACCCCTGCCCGCAGGCCGATTCTGTTGTGCCATCTGGTGGGAACGATGCGGATGAACTGGGCCATTCGCGGTGCAAAACCCACCTCCACCTCCGTATCTTTATCAACGCATCCTGGAAAGACCTGCGGCTCTTCGGTATAGTGCCCAATATCATTGTTGAAACCCCTTCTCGTGGAGGTCAGCACCCTGAACTCCGTGACCCAAGCATCATCTGAGGGATGCCCTGCCACCTTGACTCCAGAAACGAATCGAGATCTCATCAGATCGATCTCCAACCATTGCTCTGCGTCGCTGACGAAGGGTATCCAAGCACTGACCTTCTGATCCAGGGTGGATACGCAGTCCGTGTTCAAGACGCTGCTATAATTGCGATGCCCGGTGATTTCTGGGAGGCTGGACACGTCGGATGCATTCCTCTTGGCATGGTTCAGAACGAATCTTTTCAGTGAAGTCACGGTGGGCCTTCTTGGGCTTGATGCTGATCTCTGCATGTCGACCGACTTCTCTGTGAGCGTTCGTGCCATGGTGCGAGATTTCGTAGGGCTCGATCTCGTAGGGCTCTTCGGACTGTCAATTTCGTCCGCACTCCCTGGTTTGGACGGTGTTTGAACGTCATCGCCGACTCGCGCTGGCGCCATTTTCTTCGCTGCTGAGAGCGTTCGGAAGACCGTTGCATCCGAGCCACCCCACGGTCCTGGCTCGCCGATGGCGGCGAAAGTGCCAGACTGGACGATGAAGATGCTCGAAGCACTGTCGTGCATCTGCATGATGATCTCGAGTGCCTTGTAGTGCTGCACTCGCAGCATGGTGGCGAGCAGTACCGTAAACCGCGGCGGAATCGCCCCTCCGTAGCAGGACATCGCGCAGTTAGTCACGAACTTGCTATCCATCAGCAATCCCTGGAAGACCTGCGTGGGCAACTCGCCGACGAGCCTGCGGGGGAGAGCATCGCCCGTGATCATGTTGCGCATCTCCTGCCCGTCGTAGTCCTGCTGGCCCGACTCCATCTGGTCGATGTGGTTGGTCAACTTGTTGATGGAGCTATGCTGCATCAACGTCTGACGCCCAAAAGCGGTCAGGAGGCTCTTCTGACGGTCTCGCCACTTCTCGTCCTCGCTTTTCTCGGACACTAAGTTGATCACACCACCGATAATAATGCTATGAACTATTGCGCCGACCAACATGACGAAGACGACGTAAGCGATCTCGCCGACTGTCACGGCAAAGATGTCCCCAAAGCCGACGGTGGTGAATACAGTGAGAACGAAATACATCGAGTGTAGCCACTGCACCGTGGACGACTCCCCCAGCAAGCTACCCCCGGACAGGCCCTGAGGTCGGCGAGCGGGCCAAGTCTCCGAGTGATCAACGTGGAGCGCAGCGCACAGGTACCATCCGCAAGCCAGGACATGCAGTACCCATACCAACATGACCATCATATTGAAAAACTTCGCTTTCGTCAAAATCTCCTGCATCCGATCGCTCAGCTGCTCCTGCGCCTTCCGTGCAGCGCTGCTGAATCTGAAGAGGCGCGCCATCCGGATCAGTCTGGTGGCGCGGTGTAAGCGCACAAGCGAAGAACCATTTCCACCTGAACCACAGCCGCCTGGATCTATACCGATATGATCCATCAAAGGCGTGAACCACGACTCGGGAAAGCATGCGATCAAATTGATACGCTGCACCCCAGTGCGGGGCCACCAGGCTGCTGGTCTGAGGTCGTGTCAACAATCATATAATTTTGCACGTTTTGTACCATCTGCTGGCCACTGCTACTTGATGCGCCCTGGCTTCCTGAAAGCAGGTGGTTATTACCCCAAGCCCTCTTAGTCTTCGATTGCGAGGCGAGGATTTATCCATATCCACCGCCTGGGAACCGACGTCCTGGTGCGCCAGCGGGCGGTGGATATGTTATGGATATACCTTGGCCCACGGGGGTCCGAATATATCCATATCCACCGCCTGCGAGGCCCCGAAAATTGATACTCCAGGCGGTGATCATGTAAAAATTCTCGCCTCGGATCGATGGTAATCCCCTTTTGGGCAATTCCTTCTCCGTGTGGAATCGGACGAACTCGTACAGGCGAGCGGGCGGGGGGGCCAAACCAGACGCCCTGGTTGTGCGGCGCGCGGACCCTGGAGGCCGTCGGGCCGGGTCGGGTGGAGCCGTGCCCTTGAGAGGGGAAGGAACGAGGGGACGAGTGAGCGATAGAGCACGGGGGAGAACGGCGGAGGAATGAGGAGGAAGGGGAAGGAAGGGGGGGAACCCAAAGGCGCCGATACCGCCACTCCCCGGACCTCTCCTGGGGTGCGGTCTGACCAGGGTTTCGAGGCGAGTGCAGCGGTGGCGACGAGGGAAGCCCAGGAGGCCCAGAAAGGGGACAACGAGGAGAGGGTAGAGACACGGGCACCTTCTCCTTCTCTGAGGACGGGGGGAGGGTAACCGGAGTGAAAAGGGGGGCCCGTGGCAAGCCTCTTCAAGGCTCACGGGCACGAGGGGTGCGACACTGTCGCGGATGGGAATCCCGAGGCAGCCTGCGCCTAGGCGGGAGGGCAAGTCCTGGTGTAGACAGTGAAGATACCTCGAATCAGCGCGCGATTCACTACTTGCAAAGGAGCTGCTCGCAAGTCGCCTGGATCCGCCGCGGGGGATCTACGATAAACTACATCGAAGCAAACATGTGTTTTTATTCTGGCGTTTGCGGGTAGGGCACTTTGCGAGTAGTGGAACGCGCCCGGAGAGAAGCAGCGCGCGATTCCCGAGCGGCGAACGTATTTGCCTAAACTGGAAAAATTATGGCAATACATGTACCATTGGACATGAGGTCTATTCACTTCCTCTCGGGCCCCCAAGTGGAATCCGATTCGGATCCTACGAAGATCGTATCGGAGCAACAGAAGAATAGTCTGCGCCGACTAATCCATTCATTCGATGCCAGAATAATCATAATCGAATGCTCTGTGTATTGTGGGGCAAGAACTCAATCACAATCCAGAGGGGACCGAAGTTCGATTCTACTTGGATTAGATCGCAATATTATTGGATACACTGATCGTCGGCTCCGACTACCCCACGACTGGTTCCGACTACCCCGTCTTCCGCGTATCCACTATAACCGATGTGCACCACATCGTGTACCCATGACATGGACTTCCATTACACTCCTTTTCGAAGCCAAACAAAATGCACTTGGAATGCGATTGGAATATTATTTGGCACTCAGAAAAACACGGTTTCGGCTACTCCATGCGTCGCATGGCGTGGCTTCCATTATAATCTCATCGGATCGAATGGTTCGCTGCAAATTTCTGACAGAACCCCACGATCACGATGTGAATTGTGATCCCAAGCTTTCGTTGAAAGTCCAGTGGACACACGGAGATATTAGCCCCGACGACTCCGTGCATACGGCGCGCGAAATAATCGGCTCCGACTTCCTCGTGCATCATGGGCTGGAAACTTGTGAAAACTCCGAGAGACTTCCGCGTAGAATCTCGTTGGGGTCCTTGGAACCCCGTTGATTTTGAGGAATCGTCGGCCCCGACTGCTCCGCGCATCCGTTCCCAGGGCTGGCTTTCCACGAGGGCCCAATCAAGAACAATCTGGAATCCTACGGGGGCTATTGAAAACCTCCCGAGGATGCGCCGGTAATCGCCCCAGTCTGCCCTGCGTGTCCGATACATGGAATAAGCGGCTGCGTCTACTCCGCGTATCCTGGAAACAGAATGCCTTTAGGATTCGACTCGAATCGAATTGGAAGCCCATCTGGCCTCCATCGGCATCTGATTAGACACGCGGGGTATCGGCTACGACTACAACGCGTAACCGATGGAGTGGCTCGTATTAAAGCCCAGTTGTCAGCCCACGGGAATCAACTTTTGAGTTCTAATAGAATCTCGTTGGCTACACGGAGCAGGCGCATCCGACTGCAACAGCTGTGTTTGTTTGTCGCATATCCTACCCCCGAGGGGCCCAAACATTGCTTCAAGACTGCCCCTAGAGGCATCAAGATGGCCCTAAAGATGCCCGGGAGGGTCCTCATATTGCCCCCCGAGGCCTCGCTGCTATACGCCCCAGAGATCTCCCCGTATTGCCCACCAGCGAAGCCCCAAGATAACCCAGGATTGTCAACCTTGCCGCAAAAAGCCCTGGACCACTGCCTCCAAGGCAAATGTCCATGACCGCCGCCACATGATACGTGACCATGCACCTACAGCATGGAGACGCAGCACATCCACGTTCCACATCGCACAGTCCTCAAGCTACAGATCCATCAGAGAGGAGACACCGAAAGGGGGCGAAGCCACTCAAATTACAAAAAAAGTACTCAAATAATTCTTCGCGATCTTGTACGGGTCATTGATCTCGCGCGCGCCTTTCCGATAAGTGAGGAAAAAGTTCAGCACCAAATCGACATAGAAGAACCAAGCCACTATTGTCTCCCACACTTGCCAGCCGAAGGGCTCCTCCCGGGTGTTGCATGGGGCGTCACTGCTCTCACGGAGCCTGTACTCAATGAACGCAAGCCTCCACGGGAACACGATGCTGATGTACAGCAGCATCACCAGCAACGCCACCTCGTAGGCCCTTCGGCTGGTGCTACTCTCTGGAATCACGAGCGACTCGGCAGCTCGCCTCATGCAACTGCGCCTCCGAGGCGCATCGTCATCCTCCTCGTGAGGTCCAAGGCGCACATCCACCATACCACTCCTCCGCCTCCTCCTTTTCTCTGTCTCTCTCCGTCTCTATATCTCTCTCTCTCTCTCTCTCTCTCTCCCCCAACCCGCCCTGCCCGCCTCCCCAGTGGGCGAATGGAATGGAAGAGTGCGTAAAGGGAAAATGGAGAGAGAAGAATGGAAGAACGAGAGAGGGGCATGGAAGAGAATGCAGCGGAACAGAATGGGAGAGGGGAGAGAGCCTGGAAAGGCATGGGAGCATGCGGTCGGAGCCTGGCTGCGTGAGGCCTTGGCCACCAGAGGCCTCCCTGGAGAGAGCAAAAAGTACCGATACCGCTACTCCCCGGACCTCCCCTGGGGTGCGTTCTGACTAGAATCTCGAGGCGAATCCAGCGGTGGCGACGCGAGCCGCCCCGGAGGCCCAAAAAGGGGAAAACGAGCGAAGAGTAGAGGTATGGGTCCCTTTTCCTCCTCTGATCCCCCTCGCGTGGAGACGGCCGGCCCCCGAACAACTGGCACACAGCAGCCCCGGCCCCTCTGCGCGTGGCGCTGGCCTCCGCGGCCGCGGAGGGCCCAATTCTTGGGGGCACCGTGCGCCCTCTCCGGAGCGCTCCCGAGAGCTCCGCGGGGGGCGCCGAGCCCCTCGCCGGGGGGAGCCGCGAGGTGCCCGGCAGCAGGGGGTGCGTGCTGCCCGGGCGGCCGAGGTGGAGCCGGCGGCGGCGGCGAGGGCCTCTCCCCGAAGGCCAGTGCCAGCGCGTTTTCTTCTGCGGAGTTGGGCGCCCTGGCGCGGACGGCCGAACGGCCCCTGCAGCGGGACGCCCTGGCCGCGCGGTTGCGGCCGCAAAAACTGCGCGTTCCAGGCGAGAAGGTGGCAAGGGAGGAAAGGGTGTCGGTACACGTCGTTCATGTCTCAGCGTGCTCCTCTCTAAGGAGTCTCGTTTCGAATTGTTCCTGGCCCCCAGTGGCCAGGAAGAGACCCAGGATAGAGCAAGTAGGAATGAAAGGATCTTGGCCCCCCAAAAGATCGAGGAACTTCCGAACAATCAGAAGTGAGCAGTGTGTGTACCTTTTGCTCCTCTGGCTTACGAGCCACGCGTGCTCCAACACTTCCGACGTCCCGCGGCCGTGCATGGCACCGGGCCCCGGCTGTCCGCACGAGCTTCAAGGCTCTCCCGGCCACGGCCGTGGCAGGAGGCCGGGAGGTTCGTCCCTCCAGAAGGGAGCGCCTCCCAGGAGGCGGGAGGGACGGGGGGGGGGAGCGGAGGGGAAGCGGAGGGGGGGGGGGCGGGAGACCTGGCATCGTAGGAATACGTCCTTCGGGACTGACCCTACGTTGGCTGACAAGGACTTCGCCTTACGCAATTTGCGGGCGAAGGTATATCAGGCCCTTTACGAGGAGGGCACGAAGTGGACGCCGCCCGATGCACAGGCAGGGGCACCTGCGGAAGGGGATGATGCCGCTGAGAAGTTTGATATCTTTACTTCGAGCAGCGGCTCTGCAGCGCAGCATGGCACAGGCATTTGGACGCCCCCATCGCCAAACGAGTGACGGGGGCATGCGCGCGCCACGGCCACTCGCGCTTGCTCAGACAGGCCGAACACTCAGGCACTGTCAACAAACGCGGGGAAATCTGCACTCTTTTCCCAGGCACCGGCTGTGCGCGCCAGGAACCGCGGGGGGAGCAGGACCAAGAGGCAGGAGGGAGGGGCGAAGGGAGAGCAGCGTGAGGAGGAGAAGAGGAGGAAAGGTGAGGAGAGAAGGTGATGACGACGACGAGGGCGACGGAGGAGGACACGGGCGGGAGATGAACAGGAGGAGTAGGATGATCATGGCCCATCGTGCAGATGGGCCAGGAGGAGCAGACAAGAAGATGGAGGAAGAAGGAGAAAGGAGAGGGATAGTATAAGGGAGCAGGGTGATGACGGGGAGGAGAGAAATGGGTGATGGCGGGGAGGGGACGAAGGGCAGGGAGTCGGGGAGCAGGACGGCGAGGAGGAGGGCGATGGGGAGGGAGGAGCAGAAGGATGTCGAGCGTGCCCAAAAGGGCCTCGTTCAACATTGCTGTGAGAAGCCTCAGCGCTGAGTCGGCACGAACTTGATTGGTCACATGGAGGAGCAGAAGGATGAGTCCCTGCGGGGTGCCGTTCGATTGCATCGCTCTCATTTATTCTCGATTGACCCATCACGACGGAGGAACAAGCGAAGAAGTAAATGTCCTTCGACACTTACCCCGTGCCGCAAAAAAAACGGCGACGCTGGAAGATCTGCACAAACTCACCGTTCCATCAAAAATGACGACGAGCACCGACATGCCCAAAATGCCCTCTAGAAGAACGGTAGCGACAACCCCCCCAAAACCCTTACTGGACGTTGAAACTGAG